TCTGGTTGAACCCTAAACGTGCTATTACTATCAGCCAACGGCCTAGCAACAGTGATGTTGTCCTAAAGGAACCTGGGCAATATTCCTTAGAGCTTTTGTCTCCGACATCCTGCATCGGAAACAGGCCACGTCGGAAAATATTCTTAACTCACTTCTCCTCGAGGCTAGTGATAATCATAGACATGAAGATATTTTCCTAGTTTAGCGTTCGGACAGTTGGATCCGAGTTGACTTGTTACTATAAGTGCCTGTAAAATCATCGCTGCATTATGAAATTTGTTCCTTTGTTTAATATGCTAATCTTTAGGGAAGCAACATGTGCTGTTAAGGAAAGGATCAGGTAATGCAAAGGTCATTCGACGAAAATGGATTTTGAACATTCACTTACCCTGGTGAATTCTGAAAAAAGCGCTACTCGGTATATTCCTTAAGGAGGGAATGGGATGGGTTTGCTCAAGATCCTGATGTATTTCATACATATAGGCGAATCTACTGTAGGGAATATCTGAAGCGGAAATAAAGTAGGGTCTTCAGTGGAAAGTAATAATGGCAGTGGGTTGAGCTCGCTTTATGAAAAAGGAGACTTGTAAACGGCAAGGACTGTTAAGCCTTTGGGAGAAGATACCAGACAAAAATCAGTATGGATTAACCGCACATTGAAAAGTCTGTAACAGCAACTGCACCGGCCTGCGTTAGCTTTTTCAGTATACCACTAACGGAAATTTTCTCGCTGCCGCATAACCAGGATTACTGCGCCTGCGCTGAGATCGATTTTCAAGCACCTGGATTTCTACTCATCCACGTTGAAGTACACCCACGTGTGGGTGTATGAAACGTATAGTTCTAAGCTTCTGATTGACTTAATAGTGAGATTTTTATAAACTGTTGTACGGGCTCCACCCAGCCTCTGACTCTAGAGCACTGGATTATTTAATGCTGTTCAAAATATGGAAAGACGGACTCTGTTTGGTGGCGGCAATCTTATTTGCTGTTTTTACTTCCAATTGTCCAGTTTTTAGGCTTAAGCATTCTTTCATCTCAAATTCACGACTGACTGATGCGACCTGAACAGTATTAATCCTACACTAGCAAATGCGTTTTGACGGAAAAACTTTGGCCAAATTTGGCGGTGTTCACTTACACTTAGATGATTCAAAAAGTATAAAGAGAGGAATCAAGCAAATTAAGCCTTTAAAAAGACAGGACTTAAAGTAATGCACAGGCAAACTTACACGGTAGTGTCTGTTGTACGTTAGAAAACGAAGTTCTACTGGTAGGTCGCAGAAGCAGTTGGCCGAGGATTCGACGAAGCGCGTCCATGGCTTTAGCTCGTGCAAGTGAGAGCCGCTGGAATTTCCGCGGGACGAATTATCGATGGAGAACTTGAAACGATCGATCAACTCGCACGTGGTCATGGCCGAGCACGTGCGTTTTCACGCCGGCCTAGAAATGGTTAAGGAGACGAAAAAGACCAGATCACGATTTGTTAATGTCCCCTTAAGAGCTTGACACATTTTCTTTTTTTGTATATATGCTCGTCGGAGACAGTCAGGGTAGGTGGTTAAAAGCGGATCTGACTCTTATTGCAAAATTGCTAACTGCAGTAGGTGGGCTTACTCAACTCTGTCAGTCACGTCACAGTCATGGTAGAAATAGGGCCATTTGGATTGAACACACAAAATCCCAGCTTGATACATGTTGTAGTTTGTCAAATAAACACAGGGCAGAATTCCGTACAGTATGGAACTAGCCAGCTGCATCCTGCTCGATGGTAGATCGCAAATGCCGAACGTTTGTTTGGTTGACGGTAATTGACTAATCGGAGCAGATTTCATTTCTGCAAGAGTATGAAGGTCACAACGCTAGTTCCAATTACACTCACTATCATCGTGGAAGGAGGTAACAACGTAATTTTGCCCAATTACTGGAAGGTGGTCAACTAATCTTTTACTGGTTTGGAGCGTTAACGGGTTGCGCAATGACGAGCTCACGCGAGCGGCCGAAAAGGCCTTCAACTGAATACTTTATTCGTTTTCACTCCAAAAGCAGTCATTTCTGAGTTAAACAAAGACTTAATGAAAACCCCCTTTAATGCTCCTTGCACATGCGACTAACGTACAAAACTCAAGACTTATCCACAATTGTAATGCCAAGTCTCGGGTTATTCCTATAATTTCTGTCCACATCAAACCGTCGTTCGGTACACACGTGCTTCTTCCGCAAAATCTTAGATTTATTCGTCTTCTAGAAAATCTTTAAGTCATACAATCCGCAGTCCGAGGCTGCGAAGTAATATATTTTTAAGCCTTTTGGACTCAAACTAACTGCATAGTTCCCTATGTCAGTTCAGGTTTTCAGGATTTTTGTTTCATCTTGCAGTGAACTTTGCTGGTTACTCCAGGCTCCGACGGTGACGCGTATGTCAACTGCAATGTCAACCGCATCATATGAGACATTTGTGCGGCCGCACCTGGAATATGCGGTACAGGCTTGGCGGCCATGGCTTCGGAAGTATATAGATATCCTTGAAGGTGTACAACGGCGTGCTACAAAGGTTGTTCATGGCCTCAAAAATTTTACGTACGAGCAGCGCCTGACGGCCTTGAATCTCTATCCCCTCCACTATGGGCAGGACAGAGGTGGCCTCATAGCAACGTTCCAGTTGGTAAGAGGACCTAATCTGGATGTCGACTGGAAACGTTTTTTGAAATGGCACTCAAGTCCAATCGCAGACGACATGATCACCAGCTTTGAAGGAAATTGTGCCACACAAATCTACGTGTCTCCTTTTTCTCCCAGGGGATCATTCGCCAATGGAACTCTTTGCCGGAGTTTGATGTTAATTCTCCTGCTGTGAGTGTGTTCAAGAGACAACTGGATACTCACCTGTTGAAAGGCAACCCGAACTGCCGAGGCCTGATCTAACGGATTACTGAAATGACTATAAATATACTACTAACATGATTTCAACAGATTCTTTTTGTGCGTCAAACTTGACCCATATGGAAATTTTCACAGTCCGAATGCGGTGAACAAAGTTTTTCGCAATACCACACCCCTTTCACATTTATGTTCCATTATTAGATTTATGAAAAGATCTACTCTGCGTGCACTAGCAGTGCTTGGTAATTTGCTTGGCAAACGTTCCGTTCACCCGGACTTAAATTCCGCTCTATTAGCTATGTGCTAAATCATATTGCAAAACCGTACATGTGTCAATTATTGACTCCATTAACACTTCATTATTTGCATAAAAATTCAAAATTACCTACTGTGTGACAACCGAAACAACACTCCCTCCTCCTCCTCCTCCTCCTCCTCTCAGCCGCCCCATTTGCCAGACTGGTAGGGTGTGTCCGCTCACTCTGGCAGCCTGGAATGCTCGTTCCCTTTTAGACAATCCGAGGAGCAACCAACCGGAACGGAGGACGGCACTAGTGGCTCGGGAACTGGCGCGCTACAAGGTGGACATCGCTGCACTCAGTGAGACCCCGTTCTCCGAACAAGGCCGACTGGGGAAGGTGGGTGCTCGGTAAACCTCTTTCTGGAGCGGTCGCCCCAGGGCAGAGCGACGGGACGCGGGGATCGTGCTTGCCATCCGCAACGACATCGTGGGACGACTGCCCTGTCTGCAATAGGACATCAACGATCGCCTGATGAGCCTCCGCCTACCTCTTCAGGGCTGCAACTTCACCATCATCATCATCTTCTACGCCCTACCCGCAATGACCAAACCTGATGCTGCAAGAGACAAATTCTACGAGGAGCTGCACGCCCTCCTGGCGTCTGTACCGAAGCCGGATAAGTTGATTGTCCTTGGTGATTTAAACACGCGTCTGCACAGACCATGCTGCCTGGAGAGGAATGCTGGGTCCCCATGGTCTCCGCGGCTTCAACGACAATGGCCTGCTCCTCTTACGAACCTGCGCAAAACACCGGCTCTTCCTGACCAAAACGTTTCGTCAGCCGACGCGAGAGAGAGAGGGCCACCTGGATGAACCCTCGGTCGCGACACTGACACCTGCCAGACTATGTCCTCGTCTGGAGGCGAGACCCCCGGGATGTGCTGGTGACAAAGGCGATCCCGGGTGCCGACAGGTGGACCGACCATCGTATCAGGATCTGAAGGACGCCACAATCGTCAATCTCTATGAGCGGAAAGGGAATCGCCAAATTTGAGACAACAACCGAGGCATTTCCCTGCTGAACATCGCGAGGAAAATCTTTGAGCCCACCCTTCTCAACTGCCTGAAAATCCACCCAGAACAAGGTCTCCTATCGGAAAACAAGTGCGGCTTTTGCTGTCACCGCAGAACCACCGAGATGATTCTCACCGCCCACCAACTGCTGGAGAAGTGTCAGGAGATGCGTGCCCACCTGTACTTTACCTTCGTGGATCTGACGAAAATCATCGGTACGGTGAGTCGCGAAGGATGTGAAAAATCATTCAGAAGTCCGGCCATCCCGAACGATTCTCGCAGATGGTGCGTCAGCTCCACGAGGGCATGACGGCGTTCGTCACGGACAATGGGGATGTCTCAGGGCCATTCACAGTGACCAACGGAGTGAAACAGGACTGCGTCCTTGTGCCTAACCTCATGTTCTCTGCCACGCTGATGGACGCCCATCGTGACGAATGCCGTGGGTTCCACATCGTCTACAGGACGGATGGACACCTCCTCAATCAGCGGCGGATGCACTTCCAGTCGCGTGTTTCAACAAATTCCGTCCAAGAACTCCTCTTCGCCGACGACTGTGTCTTCAACATCACCTCGGAAGGGGACATGCCAAAGGGCATGGATCTCTTCGCCGCCGCCGCCGCCTGCGACAACTTTGGTCTGATCATCTACACTGAAAATACGGTGTTTATGCATCATTCGCCACCCGACGCTGCCTACTTCACACCCCAAATCAATGTGAACGACGCTCAAATGCTAGTCGTGGACAACTTCATAAATCTTTGGCAGCACGCTCTCCCGTAACGCCAAAATCGAAGATGAAGTGGTCCACCGCATTTCCAATGCCAGCCAAGTCATCGGACGTCTGCAGAACACCGTCTGAAACCGTAACGGTCTCCATCTGAACACCAAGCTGGAGATGTACACAGATGTCATCCCGCCAATGCTGTTGAAGGGAGTGGAGACCTGAACGGTGTGCAAAAAGCAGACGCGGATACTCAACAACATCCACCTCAGCCGTCATCGACGGATATTGAAGTTGAGGTGGCAGGACCAGATCCCCGATACGGAAGTACTGGAACTGTCGGCAATCTCCAACAACTACGTCAGGCTGAGATAGTTGCAACTGTGCTGGAGCGGTCATCTTGTGTGCATGGACGACGAGCGGCTTTCTAAGCGACTCTTCTACGGGGATGTCGCCGCGGGTTCCAGCC